CCCCAAATCTCCAGGTATTTCCCTCCTTAGAGCTGGCAACCCTACTTTCCCCTCAGTGCCTGTTTGTAGGCAACTAAGTTTGGTCCAGTCACCTACTTTGCCCTTTGGGAGAAAACATATTGGGGCCAATCCTGATAGGGTTGCCAACTCCCGATGGGAAATTCCTGGAGATTTGAGGGATGGAGCCTGAAGAGGGTGAGGTTTGAGGAGGGGTGGGACCTCAGACAGGTACAATGCCATAGACTCCACCCTCCAAACCACTCAGTCCCTCATGGGGAACCATTGTTGCCAATCTCCAGGTGAGGGCTGGAGACCACTCAAAATTACAATTGCTCTGCAGAAGGGAGGGCGGAAGTCAGCTGAAGTCAAAGGGGCAGATAATGGTAGGTTGATGGTTAGCTGTGAAGGAGATGGGGTTGCCAACTCCAGGCTGGCAAATTCCTTGGAATTTGAGGGGTGGAGCCTGGAGAGGGTGGGGTTTGCGGAGGGGTGGGACATCAGACAGGTAGAATGCCATAGACTCCACCCTCCAAACCAGCCATTTCGTCCTGGGAACAATTGTTGCCAATTTCCAGGTGAGGGCTACAGATCACTCAAAATTACAACTGCTCTTCAGGGAGCAGAGATCAGTTCCTCTGGAGAAAACAGTGGACTCTGCCATTATACCCTGCTGAGGTCACCACAGCAAAATGACACTGTTTGCCCAAAGCCAGAGCACTCCCCCAGAGCCTCTTTCTAGATCTCGTTGTATTTATTTCCACAACGGGCTTTACTGCTAGTCTTCTATAATAGATCCGTTTGAGCAGGGGTCATTTCGGGGGGGAACACGGGGGAACGCAGTCCCCCCCGGGTGAGGTACAGGGGGCGGGGCACATGATGAAGCCCCGCCCCCTGCTTCCGCCCGCCCCGCTTCTGGCCCTCATTCAGCCAGGAGGAGGAGGAGAAGAGGGAGGGTAAGTTGCTTCCTCCCTGCCTCTCCCTACCCCTGCCTACCTGGGGCCAGGGAGGGCCTTCACGGGGCTTCCTTGCACTCCCGCTGGCCTTGCAGTTCCACCGCCGGGCCCCTCATGGGGCGGGGTGTGTGGCCTTATGACACACTTCCGGTGATGTCAGGGGGTGTGGCATATGCTAATGAGTTATGCTAATGAGTTCCCCTAGCTCTTTTTCTACGAAATGACCCCTGAGTTTGAGCACAATATAATCTGAGTTACTCCCACTGATTTGGACAGATTTAAGTTTGTTTAACTCACCTCACTGACACCAATGGGATATTATAGCCTAAATTTTGCCTGGATCATTCCCTTAGGATTTAAAAAGCACTGAATATGTTTTATGATCACCATAACACTTACCAGAGCTCAGTACAGAACAGGGGCTATCAATTAATCCTTCTGATTAGTGACATTCTTTTCACTATTATTTTCTCAGCCTCTGTTTTCCCAGGTATAGAAAGTATTACCTCACTACCTTCCCCCAGAAAAACAGAACATCCCTCTCTCATTTCCTGGTCTCCTATGGCTTATGAAGAGGTACAGAGAAACTTCATCTTGAATTAAACCAGAGAATCATAGTTTAGATTGAGCAATAAAATGCCATTCCATAAGACAGCTAGAGCCATCTAAGAAATTAACACACCCCTTAATCAAGGGCTTGCTTTGTGATGCCATGGATTTCCCTATACACCAAGCAAAACAAACGACCAGTGTTTACAGGACAATAATTCTTTCCCCACCAAGAGTTGCCCTTACAATTGCCCTGGTAACCTAGTCAAGTCCCTAATCAACAGATAACTTCACCTCCAAACACATTAGCATTTCCCTAGGTACCCTGAAAACCCAATTTCCGCCACTGCTAAAGGAAGGGGGGAAATTTAACTATGTAAGAACCCCTTTCAGGACAGCATTTTAGGTTTAGTTCAGCCTCTCCAATGATTGTTCTTTCACCACTGTGACAGGACAACACCCAGCATCTCCTGGGGGTCTCTATCCACCACTAGAATAGGACACATTAAGGCAGAGGTGTCGAATTCATTTGTTATGAGGGCCAGATCTGACATAAATGTCACTTTGTCAGGCAGACATAAACTTTATAAAGGACAGCAAGTGGTAAACTCTAAGTTGTTGTGTCCTCACTGCAAGGCCCCATGGGCTGGGAGGGGGGTGCAGAGGAAAACCCACATGGGTGGACTGGAGATCTAGCAGTGCAACGGTGGGCAGACACTTCCATGCCCCAACAGAGGATAATTTGCACCCTGCAAATGCTGATCCCTGAGGCCATCTGGAACAGCACGGCCAGAGCTGTATGACAAGTGGAGAGGTATAAATTTGGTTGCAGCAGCTCCCAACCTACCAGGGAGGCTGTCCCTGAAGTGAAGGGGTTCTGCTTGATTGCTGCAGGCAAGGTTGTTCAGCTGTGGTTGTTCAGAGTGGCTCTGCCAGCTCACCCATCCTGTTCTCTCCCTTGCATCAGTAGCTCACGGACCTCATAATAGCCCTGAATGGGCCGGTTTTGGCCCCTGGGCCTTATGTTTGACATCCTTGCCTTCAGGCTTGTTTTCACTGCAGCTCCACCAACTGCAACAGAACGAAGTACACCTGTCCCTGGACTGTTCCTTTGCCACTTCGAAAATGCTCACACTACAGGGATCAGGCATTCTCCCTCTCCAGTTCACTCAAACATTCTCTCTGTTCTTCTACTTTGCATTCAGCTGATCTCCCCCATCCATACCAGATGTCCCCATCTCTCTCACTTATTCTCCTTTGTGCACCCAGACCCCTGCTCTGGCAATTCCCATTTTCTCTCCCCCTTCTCTTTATCAGCAACCTACTTTCCTCTCCTTTTTGTCCTTCCTACCTTGCTTTTTATTGTTTATCTAAGCCCAAAGAGCCAATCTACTTCAATTTAAAGTTGCTTCTCTCTCCTCCACATATATTTTCACAATATCACCCCCCCCCCCGATTATACCTGTCTATAAACATATTTTAAATTCCATACCAGGGTTGAGAGGTGAATGTATACAGGCTACGGCTGTGTACCCTATCGTAAATCAGAGGTGCACTTACAACAGCTGTTCATCAAGTTGTCTTCTGTGCAGGCACACATTGGGACTGCGCATGCGCAGGCCTGCTGACAGAGAAAAACAGGAATAGAGAGGCCACTCCTCCCCTCAGCACAAGCCCAGAGCATTCCTACTGAAACCCTGCTGAATGTCTAGCAGGCTGCAGTGGACCAGATGTCACACCCAAGGACCTTGATGTCTGCTTGTTCTTTTTGATTTACTCCAAGGTCTCATCCATCTTGACTGAGAACAGCTGGTCTCCTTCAAAGGGCAAGTCCTCTATTTTAGCACATGTGTATGGAGGCAGAGCAGTAGAACACAGGAATGCAAAGCACCAGAAGGCAATGCCAGATACCATAGATTTTGCAGAACAGTCTGCTGCATGTTTTCCTGCATTCATTTGCTGCTTGGCCAGACATGTCGCTTCAGCATGCAGGAGCTTGACCACTGAGTGATGCTCCTTAGGAACTGAGTCAAAGTGCAGAGCTGCCCAGACCCAAAGAAAGAGCTGATATGTAGCCATTATCACCTGCTGTGATTCTAAAATTCAGTGCGCCAGCCAAACAGACCTTCCAGCTCATAGCCTCAATCCTGTAGCCCTTCATATTCACAAGAGAAGAGTGGGAACTGTGATGGTGTTTGGCTTGAAACTCCTCTGTGATCAAAGAGGAAGGGGGAGGATGGGTAGAAAGGAAACAACAATCCATCTGTCTAATTTTATAAAGATTTTCCATTCTTTGGGATGTAGACAGAATAGAGGATGGTTTCTCACACAAACTCTTAGCTGTGTTGAGAAAATCTTCCAGGACGGAGAGGGCAATGGAGGTAGGAGTGGCAAAGTAAGGCAATGAGAGAATCTTAGGCTTGGGGTTGGAGGAGACAAACTCAAGTTCATAGGACGTAGCCATCCTAATAATTTGTTTGGAGGAGAGGTGCAGATCCTCAGTTGGTGACATTGGCATGGTATCTCCTACAGCTTCATCAGGAAAGAGATCAATAGCTAATTCTGTGCCCAGGTAAGAACAGAAGCCCTTCTCTTGTTTGGAATCAAGAGTAATGCTGTTGATCAGTAGTTGGGAGCTCCCAGGCGAAAATATGGACCCAGAGAGGAAAGATGGGTGAAAATATGGACCCAGAGTGCTTGTGTGAGGAAATTGGATCAGAAGGGAGCAGGTCGCCCCACTGCTGTGGGCACAGGGGGTAGGCAGGCCAAGAGCCCTTTTGGTAATGAAATGCCTGGGTCCACCCTAACAGGGTTGTGGAGAGAAAGTCTAGGAAGGTGCCAACGGCTTGTCTTGCTGCACTGGAACCAACCACTGCAGAGCTGGACGCAGCTTCTCCACTTGTATGGGGCCCTGCTCAAACCGACACAGGTATAATCTCTGAATCAGAACCAAGGGGGTACCCAAAATGAGGTGAAGGTGTACGGGGAATTGGCGAGGGAGCATCTTCTACAAGTATTGGTTCCAGTGAAATCATGAATTAGAGTCTTGAATGGTCCATTGGGGTGCTTAGAGTAGCTCGGAACCGAAGCCTTACTGGAGTGCTTGGTCTTCAAGTGTGCTTTCTTTGTTAGAGGCTCCAAAGAGCTCCGTTGGCTGTAGATGGTTCCAGAAATCAATGTGGATCCGGTGTTGGGACCGACCTGGGTGAAGCCATGGATTTGGCCCTCTGAACAGGTTCATGCAAGGCAGATGACTTCGCTGCTGGCTTATTAGAACTCTAGAGGGCATATTCCCATAGGCATGCCTTCATGCGAGAAGCCCTGTCTGCCCTGGCCTTGGGGAAAATTACTGACAGAGGCAGCAAGAGGGCACGTCATGAGCCTCCCTGAGGCAGATTACATAGACAGCATGCTCATCCAAGTGGTGCATTTTCGTGCCACATTGAAGGCACTTCTTAAATATTTTTGAGCCATGGAGGCACAAAGACAAAAGGAGATCAGACCCAGTTGAAATTGGCAATCCGATGGAATAGTCAAGAGAAATGTCGAAAAAACAGGAGCAAAGCTAGAAGTGTTCCTCTCACCCTGGCAGCAAAATAACAGCTGAGGGAAAATGGCACCCTTTGTCCTTGGCGCAGTTTAGGTGGGAATGCTCTGGGCATGTGCCAAGGGGAGGAGCACCCTCTTTATTCCTAAGAAGCTAGAAAATTTTCTCCATTGACAGACCTGCGCATGCGCAGTCCAAATGTGTGCCAGCACAGAAGACCGAAGATGAATAAAGAGTTCATAAGTGGATTAATTAGCCCATCCAATTGCATTCTGTTTTGAATATACGCTGTTGTTCCACAGTACTGAAGCACATAGGTACTGAAATTCCACAGGTATATGAAATACACAGGAACCTTATCCAGTGTAAATGTATTCATTTTCTTTTCTTTTAAACACACTGTGTTTCTTTTAAACACACTGAAGCAGAGAACGGCACTCTTACTGGGGCTCTTATATTTTTGCTTTTGGATATTCATTCCAGACTAGAAAATGTAATGTGAGAAATGACTCTGACATGAATGGCATTAAACACTGGAAGAATTGCTAAAACAAACAGAAGGATTAATTTTTCCCAGGCTACCTAACTGCTGAGAGCACATTTGTATTCTCAATATATTAAGTGGTTAAAAGACATTTTAATTTTCTTAGATTAGTTTGGTTCTGGTTCTGTTCTATGTTGCTGTAAAAGGAAACAATTGATAAATTAAACATTTCAAAAGACAATTAATGAAACTAACATTATTCGATTGCCACGCTCAATTTTTATTAGTGTTCACGTAACAATGAGTGATTTTGCCAACCCAGACATTTTCCTATCTTTTGATGCTGGCCATTTTTCTGGAACCATAGGATATAAAGGTTTTCAATAAATCCTACACATATAATTCCCTTACGTATTGGCCATTTCCAGCTCTCCCACTGGCTGTGCAGTGCACTCCATCAACTGCCACTCAAGAGTACTCATGTCCCATTGGCTGGGTGCTGGGTCCATTCCTCTCACCCACCCACTGCCAGCCTGGACACTCCTCTCACAAAATAACTGCCAAACGGCTGTCTCTCCTGATGAAGACACTTCTGCTTGGCTCCTGTGGGACTAACTTTTCCATCAGTGGATGTTGCTAGGCAACCAAGCTTGGTTCTGTCAGTAAAAAGGGAAAGACAGGAGGCACTTTCCAGGTCTTTGTGGGGAACTCATTGGGGCCAGTCCTGACTAGGGTTGCCATCTCCAGGTTGGGGAATTCCTGGATATTCTGTGGTAGAGTCTACAGAAGCCAGAGTTTGGGGAGGGGAGGGGCCTCAGCTGAATAGAATGCCATAGAGCCCACTCTCCAAAGCAGTTATTTTCTCCAGTGGGAGAGAGATCTGTTGTCTGGAGTTCAGTTGTGATGCCTGGCGATCTTCAGACTCCACCTGGAGGTTAGCTACCCTAGGCATAGCAGTAAGCGCTTCAGAGCAGGGTTTGCCGGACCCCGGTTCTTGCTGTGGAAGCTGAGTGGGTGATTTTGGACCAGTCACAGACTTTCAGCCTAACCTACCTCACAGGGTTGTTGTGCAGATCAAAAGGAGGAGAGGAGAATAATGTAAGCTGCTTAGGTCTCCACTGTGAAGAAAGACTACTTTTCCTCCTGAGAAACCATTGCTGCCTATCTCCAGTTGAGGGCTGGAGATCAGTCAGAATTAAAACTGCTCTCCAGATGGCAGAGATCAGCTCCCCTGGAAAAAACGGCTGCTTTGCAGGGTGGACTCTGTGTCATTATTCCCTGCTGAGGTTGCTTCCCTCCTGGCTTGGGTCCCCACTGCAGAGAAAGACTGTAGTTTTCCTAGGTAGAGGCTGCAGGGAGGGGGGAAGAGATGGAAACCTGAAGTCAGAGGGGCAGATAATGGTACGTTGATGGTTGGCTGGGAAAGAAATAGAGTTGCCACCTCCGGGTTGGGAAATTCCTGGAGATTTGAGGGGTGGAGCCTGGAGAGAGTGGGGTTTGAGGAGGGGTGGGACCTCAGACAGGTACAAAGCCATAGACTCCACCCTCCAAACCAGCCATTTCCTCCTGGGGAACCATTGTTGCCAATCTCCAGGTGAGAGGGGTAGAGATCACTCAGAATTACAACTGCTCTCCAGATGGCAGAGATCAGTTCCCCTGGAGAAAACGGTAAGCTCTGTACCCTGCTGAGGTCACCACAGCAAATTGACGCTGAGTGCCCAAGGCCAGGGCACCCGCCCAGAGCCTCTTTCTAGAGCTCGTATTTATTTCCACAACAGGCCTTATTCCTAGTACATAAATAATTTCTGAAGAGGATAAAATATACCTTCTCTTCCTTCTTCTTCAACACTTCTTCTGATCTCTTTTTCTTTAGCCATTCTTCGTACACCTCTTTTGCTTTTTCCTTTGATTGTGCCTTTTCAAGTTCCTTGGCTGCTTTTTCTGCTACCTCTTTACTAAGCTTATGTTCCCTTGCTCTCCTTTCCTATATAAAATAGATGTCAAACATTTTAGCGAAAACAGGTTTATTTGAGAATACAGAAAAAATCTCAGCCACTCTGTTGAACCATCAAGTCAAATCAGAAATTTGTTAAAAACATGCTGTTGCAAGAAGCTACGTTCAGGACAACAGCAGTAAAAACAGTAATAGCAGAATGCTCCTTCCATTTCCTTATATATCACTGACTAAACACAGAAGACTATCAAGTATTTTAGAAGTGATTGTGAGGACTGAATTGCAAGATTTCATCAGGGATAACCTGAGGGGCAAGGGGGAGATAGAGAGGATTATTTCTGAACAGGTGAATATACCAACTCCATAAAAAATAGAACTAATTTCTCATACTAGTGGCATTGCAAATCAGCACACACACGAAACTGCCTCATATTGAATTAGACAAATTGGTGCATCAAGGTCAGTATTGTCTACTCAGACTGGCAGTGGCTCTCCAGGGTCTTAGGCAGAGGACTTTCACATCACTGGATTGATTCTCCATTACAGCCTATGGGGAATAGTTCCTATAGGCTATAATGGAGCTGAATAAATTTGGGTTTCCCCGATTATTTCCCAAATCCCAATACCGGGATTCGGGAATATCAGGAAATACTGATATTTTTTTGGTTCAATATACCTGAACCCAAAAAATACTGAAGTTTTATTTTGTACAATCCTAAGGCTTGGCCACAAAACAAGTGCTCATCTTCAATGCATCATCTGTAATGACATATTGCTTTTACAATATGCATAAATTACAGAGGTTGTTAAAACAGGAGTTTTTACACTCATCCCCCACCCCTCTTTTGATGGGCTTGGAAAATAATTCAAGCATTAGGGTGGGGTTGACACATTTGATGGCCCTGTGCTGTAAACCCATGACCATTATAAGTTCTATTAATTCAGTTAAGAAATAATATATAAAATTCTGTTTCATGACTCATGAGTTTGTATGCATGGGACAGGATAGTAGGATGGACAAAGTATAAGCCACTGGAGACTAACGGTTAGAGCAGGGACCCCCTGCTGAGCCTGTAGACACTTTCAGAATTTTGAGAGCACTGAGTAGGTGCCACCACATTTGCAGCTTCATCTAGGACTTTGCAGTAACCTCAGCTAGTAGTAACTACAAATACCTAGTTGATCATCAATTAGGTTCCCTCTGTTATTAAAAAACTGCTTTGTGAAATGATCATTTGCCAATAAGTATTGACTGCTTCATGAAGGAGATCACTTACAATGCTTGGTTTTATACTTTCTTGGAAATGGGCCTTATCCCTAAATCAGTCAAAGGGAACCCAAAACTTAAACTGGAATACAAACGTGTCAATCCCTAACAAAGTTCTTCTCATCTCTCATGCTTGTTGCAGAGGGCTGATATTAAGATGCTGGATCAAAGCTTGTATATGATTGTTATGATTAATTCCATATATAATAGTTAAATGTATTTGTTCCAAGAATGATCAACAGTAAACAGAAAAATAGTTTGCTTGGCACAATTAAAGGCAGGCTGAAGTTCTAAATGAATAATCTGTGGTCTCAGTAAGTTTCTGACCTAAATAAATAGGCTAGGAATTCACATTAGTGTTTCAGTTTGCTTTTCAGAAAAGTATCCTTTGATCCTGTCTTTGGAAGAGATAAGATCTGTTTTTTAAATCACATGCAAGTTTACATGCTCTTTGCTAACATTAATGACATCAATACAACCCTGCTATACATTAATTAATTCTAAAAATACCAGGTATTCTTAGGATGAAAGACTAGTTCCAATTACTACACTCAAGCACATTACAAAGGATAATACAAACAAACATAGTCTGCAGGCATAACCATTTCTGCTTTTAATTCAATCAAATAAAGGACTAGGTTAATACCTGAAGGACTTCTTTTCTGAAAAATATTCATCTCTATGCTGATGACACCCAGCTATACCTGTTGATGGGCAGCTGGCCAGATACTGCTCCTGCAAATCTGGCTGTGGGTTTGGAGGCTATGTTGAAATGGTTAAAGCAGTCAGTTGAAATGGAACCCTGATAAGATGGAGGTTCTGTGGTTGGGGGGGGGGGACATGGGGAGGACCATGGCTCCCGGCACTTGACAGTGTGCCCTTTTCACCGGCACCAACTGTCAAGAGCCTGGGTGTGATTCTGGACACCTTCATGTCAATGGAGGCCCAGATCACAAATGTTGCCAGACTGCCATTTTTCCAGCTGTGTCAAGTCAGGCAACTGCCCCCGACCAGTCTCGCCCTGACCTAGGTATGGTAATCCACACAACAGTCACCTCCAGGCTACACTACTGTAACTAGCTCTATGTAGGGGTGCCCTTGAGGCTGACTCAGAACTTCCTGGTGGTACCCAGCCCAAGAGACAGCCAGCTGTCCTCAACTAGGGCCAGGGCCCTTTTGTGCCCTGGCTCCCACCTGGTGGAACTCTCTGCCAAATAACATCCATGCCCTGCAGGACTTATTACCATTTCACGGGCATGTAAGGCAGAGATGTTCCCTCAGGCATTTGGTTAAGGACAGTGACGGTCTTCCATCTAGCCTCCCCCCATCCTCTACAAGACAATGACATTCCAGGAATATTGCCATCAGATAGGCTCAGGCGGCTGAAAAATTGCATTTTTATGTATTTTTAATTTTTAATAATTTTAAACCTTTGTAAGATTTGTAATTTTATCATTGTTGTACGCTGCCCTGAGCCCTGTTTTCCAGGGAGGGCGGCCTAAAAGTCGAAGTTAATAAATGACAAAATCTCTGCAAACAGTGCCTGTAAACTGTGCACATAGTGGTGCAAGCTGTGGTACTCAGTTGCAGATGCTATGTGTATACATGGGAATAGAGATCTGGAGTGATGCATGCAGCCTTATGATCCTATTGGTCCACGTTTGCACAGACCAAAACACAAGCATAAAACATCGATCCTACTCAAGAGTGGACACTGGACTGACAACTACATAAACTTTTTTGAAGCTATGGGGAAAAATCTTTTTCTGGGATTTTGAGAAAAACTGAGATATATGCAACACTTACTTTCCTATGAAACTAGAACTGTTACTGTTTGAACAACATAAAATACATTGTTTATAATGTATACACAATTAGATTATTTGGCATATATATGGAATTTCAAAGTATAAATGTCTTCTGTTTTCTACAACAAAAATGATAAGTATCTCCTGTACTTGACTAAGAGGTTCGAACTGCTGCACCCTATGCTACCACAATTTCTATAGGAAATTAAGAAACCCTCTCAGAATCAAAAAAGGTAGGACTACCAGCATGTTTGAATATTAAGTTAAACTTAATAACTTTGAAAACAGTGAACTCTTTACTAATGTATTATCATTAAATAGTAGTTGTTTCATGAAAAATTGTTAGTAGAGTGTTTACAACTATTGTCAAAATTATATACATTTAAACAAAAAATATTCTTGAAAATGTTGCATATATGTCTGCGGCATATATTGTAACGACCATTTATAATGCTGCATGAAGGCAGTAGGAAACAGGGAAGACATGAGATGGATTGACTCAATAAAGGAAGACATGTCCTTCAGTCTGCAAGACCTGAGCAAGGCTGTTAGTGATAGAACATATTCATAGGGTTGTCACAAGTTGGAATACTCTTGACAGCACATTCCACCATCAGTGTTCCCTCTAAGCTGAGTTAGTGTGAGCTAGCTCACAGTTTTTTAGCCTCCGGCTCACACATTTTTGTCTTCGCTCAGGAAGGATGGCTCCAGAGCAAACTAATTTATGCAGTAGCCAAATCGCTCGCTCACAACTTTAATGCCAGTAGCTCACAAAGTAGAATTTTTGCTCATAAGACTCCACAGCTTAGGGGGAGCATTGAACACAATGTGTTTCATGCAATGCATTATGAAAAAAATACTGTCTTTTATTTCACTCAGTCCAACGTTCCCCTAAATTTCTCAATTTTTTCGCTGTAAAAGCTGAAACAGTCCGCAGACTTCTTCAGGTTATATATTTGGAACTAATTATATGTGTTTAAAAACCAGGTTCTTCTCACTTATCTACTAGTTCTCAGCTTCCTTTTTAAAAAACACAAGTCTTTAGCCCAAGGGTTTCAAAAAGGTAGCTTGTGAGCTACCAGTAACTCATGGACTACTGCAGAGTAGTTTGTGCTCTCCCTAGAAGATCCTGAAAAAGACTGCAAAACATCTGATCTAGGCTTTGTAAAATAATATTTTATAGGATTTTTCTCTGTGCTGCTTAGCTAATAGCTTCATTTCTGGTGCTCTTATTAGTCCATGTTCTGTTTTTAGGACAGAACACAATTTGTTAACATGCCAGGGAGAGGATCAGCCTGGGATATTTTTCATTCCTGAGAAGCAGCTCTAATAAAAGAAAAAGCTGGTGATCCCAACGCCAGCCCTTATCATTATGGAGTGATAAGGGGAACGGTACAGCCTGCACCTTATATGAAAAGGGCTACACATTTTTAAAAAAATGAAGTATGGGGTAACAGTTATAACATTATAATGCTATATATCAATACCCTTTCTTAAAAAGGAAAGGAAAGCTCTCTGGTGTGAGGGGAGAACAGTGGCTGTGGAGGGCTGCAACAAGGGAAGTACAGAAAAAACTGCTGCATGGACACTCTTGTCATTGTGAATGCTTCTTCATTCCCAGCAGCAATGAGAGCTACACAGAGAATTGTCTCTGTGGAAGCAACCCAAGTCACAAACATATAAACACATTACAGTCAGTCAGCAAAATAAAAACAGCACAGCCAGCTCTGCCAAAACAGTTTACCTCCACCAAATGATCTTTCAAATAAAACAATTTTATATGCCTTCTGCAACCACTCTGGTAAGCCATTCCAAAGCATCAGTTCTACTGACTGATTTTTGTCAGATGGACAATCCCAAAAAGGGAGCCGCAAGGAGAAAACTATCCGAAATGTGTAGCATGAGAACTCTAGGAGGTGTGGTATGCTGGAGGATGCTATAGGTCTGGCAGTGTGTTTTTCAGCTCTCTTTTATGTTTCAGCTCTCCCGCTTAAAAGAAAATCACCAGGGAGGGGGGGGGGGGGGGATAAAAGTCAAATATAGAAAATGAAGTCTTCACCCTTTTCACCTCTTCATTTTTTTTCTGGACCCACTCCTTGTGTTTCAATTCAGCAATCATTTTTTTCCTTTCACGTTCCTGTTTTTCCTTTCTTTTCTCCATTTGACTATTTAGCTCCTATTAAAAGAAAAAGAATACTAATTTCCTGAAGACTACACAGTCAAAAGCTAAAATAAAAGCAGATTAAGACAGCAAGCATACTCAAATATATTTCTAAATCAAAAGTATTTAAAATTTGAAGCATATTTAATTTTTAAAAAATGAAATTATATTTAAGGGACATGAACTCTGGTAACTTCAGGGCTTTTTTTGTAGAAAAAGCCCAGCAGGAACTCATTAGTATAATAGGCCACACCCAACAGCAGAAACTCATTAGCATACTAGGCCACACCTGGACAGTGCAGCTCATTAGCATATTAGGCCATGCCCCATTCTTTCCCTTGGCTTTAGTGCCTCCCTGATTCTTCCAGACCCCCAGGCCCACCAGCCTCGGAATTGCCAGGAGGGGGGGGGTCGCTCTCCAGGCCTTCCCTCTGTAGCCACGCATGCAGAGGTTTTAGTTGTAGTGGGCGTGGCCAACTCTGAAGCCAGCCGGAACTCCGTTCCTGTGCGTTCCTGCCCCAAAATAGCCCTGGGTAACTTCCAGACATTTCCCATCTTCTTGTAAATGAATTTTTTACCCACTCATTCTGAAAGGCATCAACAATACTTGGTCACAATTTTCTCTGAATAACACACTGCTTGGGGGAAAGGCAACTAACAGGAAGGGAGTCAACTTGTGCACAGAAATTTTGGCCCTGTGATTTGTGTCTGGTGTAAAGTAAAGAAACATTTGTAATATCTGAACATTTATAGGCTACCTACCAACTGAAGAGTCTGAGGCACATGCGCAAACATTTCCATGGGGCACTGGGCCTTATACATTTTATATCGCTATCTGGGTCCTTTGTGTGCTGAACATTACTTGAAGCAGATTCCATGAATAATTATTTGGGCAGCACAGAATTTGCTTGTGACTGATGTGGGAGAAAGGTTTTCAGAAGGCACTCTTCAGCAACAATAGATACACATGTAGTCCACAGCATCTTTGCTATTGTTCTTTACAAGTGAGCCAAGGCAAATATTAAGGAGCCAACAAATAGTAGCCAGACTTAGAGGCCAACTATGTTTTTTACTAGCCAACTGTAAAGTCAAACCCCAACACAAGGCAAGCTGTTACATTTTCTTAATTTTTAAAATCTTTTTATATTAATGAATTTTATACACAACGTTGGAATTTGTTAAGCACATTACACTGAGTCACTGTGGGAAAGTTGGTTTATAGGTATGTGCACTCAAATATACCTGGTCCAAATATATACCTGAAAAATATCTTCTCAGTATTTTCGGCCATCTGGAACGATACCAGTATACAGGTTCCATATATTTCCAGAAATATTTGGGAATATCTGGGGAACTCAGGCCTGTTTTTGTTCCCTTTAACAGGTTTCCTGGGGAACAGGTTGGAAGCTCCTGATCAGCACAAGTCTTGGAAGGAGACAGATTACTTAGACCAATTTCGATCCCGATTCAGGCCTAGGTTTGGGACACAAAACAGCCTTGGTCACCATGACTAATGAGCTTCTCAGGACGAATGACAGGGGAGTGTATGTCTATTGATTCTCCTGGAATCTTCTGCAGGATAATGATGTCATTATCCACGATATCCTGGAGAAGCTGGCTGAGTTGGGGGGGGGGGGGCAGTACTGTGCTTCAGTGGTTTCAATCTTATTTGACTGGCCAATTCCAGAAGATGGTGCTTATGGACTGCTGCTCGTCCCTGTGGTATTTATGCTATGGGTTCCTGCAGGGTTCTATCATGTCCTTTTTGTTGTTCAGTCACACAGTCAAGTCGGACTCTTCGCGACCCTATGGACCACTTCTTGCCAGGCCCTCCTGTCTTCTGCCGTGCTCTGGAATTTGCTCAATTTCATGTTTGTTGCATCGATAACACTGTTTAACATTACAGGGTGTCTGTTGTGGGGAGGGGAAGGGAAAGGAGTTTGTAAGCCGCTCTTAGACACCTTTGGGTTGTGAAGGGGGGGGTATAAATCCAATCTCTCTCTCTTGTACGTGGAATGCTGGGACTATATGGAGTAAGGTGCCACCAATAAGCATATGACACCCTGTTCTATTTATTTATTTAATTTATACCCCGCCCTCCCCGCACGTGGGCTCAGGGCAGCTTACACAGGCACAAAAGTGCGGTAAAAATACAAAAAGTTAAAACAAGGCACAAGTTCTACTTCTCCTTATCAATTAAGTCTGGTGGGTCTGTGGAAGTCCTTAATTGGTGCTTGAAGACAGTAATGGGATGGATGAGAGCCAATTACTGAGGCTCAATCCAGACAAGACTGAGGTGCCGTTGGTCAACAAGAAAGCTGCTCAAGGACTAAGGAGTCAGCCTGTCCTGGAGGGGCCTGCACTTCCCCTGAAGAAGAAGGTTCATAGCTTAGAGGTCCTACTGGACCCTGACCCACAACTGGGAGGCCCTGACTTCCTCTGTAGTGTGCAGTGCCTTTTATCAGCTTTGGCAGATATTGCCAGCTGGATTTTGAGAAGCAGGTTGCTAAAAGCATCAAGACAAACATTCCTCAAAAAAGTGTGATCTGACCAAAGTGATCCATTACATCCAAGCTATATTACTGTAATCCACTCTACATGAGACTGCCTTTGAAAATGGCCCAGAAACTTCACCTTGTTCAAAATTCATCAGGAAGGGGAAGAATGCTGGGATCATGCCTCTCTGCTACTGAACACATACACTAGAATAGTGTATGTGCTCAGCAGAATGCATTCCACAGGCGAGGAAAGGCACTGCCAAGTCTAAAAGAAGGCCTGTGTGGTTAACAATGGAAGTCAAGGAAACTATAAAAAGTAAAGAGGTGTTTGTTTTGTTTAAGTGAAAGCTCTGCCCCAGTGAATTGAACAAGAGGGACCACAGGCTCTGGCAAAAAAAATTATGTAAGTCAATAATTAGGAATGGGGGGAAATGATTTTGTGAAGCAGGTTGCTAAAAGCATCAAGACAAACAATAAACATTTTAAAAAATATATCTGGAGCAGGAAAACAGGCAGAGCAGCAGTGGGACCTTTGGATGGCAAAGGAATATAGGGATTGCTGAAGGAAGATAGGGAGAAAGCAGAGAAGCTCAATGACTTTTTTGCTTCTGTGTTCACTGTGGAAAGTGTGGGCCACGTACCCATGCCACAGAACCTATTTTCAGGGAGTCTGAAAAACTGAGCCAAATTGAAGTGACCGAAGATAAAATTCTAGACCTACTGGGGAAATTAAAAACCAATAAGTCTCCAGGTCCTGATGACATATACCCGAAAGTTCTTAAGGAATCCAGATGTGAGATCATTCATCTACTATATGTAACCAATCACTAAATTCAGCTGCTGTACTAGAAGACAGGAGCGTAGCAAACGTGACACCAATTTTTAAAAAGGGATCCAGAGGGAAACCAGGAAATTACCAGCCAGTCTGCCTAACATCTGACCCAAAGAAATCAGTAAAAATGGTAATCAAAAATAAAATTATTAGGAACAAAGCTTTCCGAGGGAATATCAGCATGGCTTCTGCAACTGGAAGTCCTGTCTCACCAACCTTTTGAAGTTCTTTGAGAAAATGAACAAGTAGGTATATAATGGTGACCCGGTAGAAATTATATACCTGGTCTTTCAAAAGGCTGTTGACAAGGTACCTCCCCAAAGACTCCCGAGTAAACTTAGTAGTCACGGGATAAGAAGAAGGGTTCTCTTATGGATTAAAAACTGGTTAAATGAAAGGAAGCAAAGTGTAGGAATCAATGGACAGTTCTCACAATGGAAGGAAGTAAGCAGTGGGGTCCCAGAAGGACTGGTATTGGGGCCGGTAATATTTAATTTATTCATCAGTGATCTGGAACTGGGGGTGAGTAGTATAGTAGCAAAGTTTGCAGATCACACCAAATGATGGTAAAAACCAAGGCTGACTGTGAAGAGCTCCAAGAGGACCTCCACAAACTGTGTGAGTAAGCAACAATGTAGCAAATGAAGTTCAATGTTGGTTAAGTGTAAAGTGATGCACATTGGAACAAAAAATCCCAACTTCAAGTATAGGCTTAGGGGGTCTGAATTTGCTGAGACTGAGAGGGGAAAAGAAGAAGAAGAGATTGGATTTATACTCCACCCTTCACTTGGAGTCTCAGGGTGGCTTACGAACTCCTTTCTGTTCCCTTCCCCACAACAGACACCTTTGTGAGGTAGGTGGGGCTGAGAGAGCTCTGACAGAAACTGCTCTTTTTAAGAACACCTCTAACAGAATTATGGCTTGCCCAAGGTCATCCAGCAGCTGCAAGTGGAGGAGTGGGGAATCAAACCCGGTTCTCCCAGATTAGAGTCCGCACACTTAACCACTACACCAAACTGATCATGGGGTTGCAGTGGATAATTCAATGACAGTGTCAACCCAGTGTGATACAACAGTAAAAAACACAAACTCTATGTTAGGGACTATTAGGAAATGGACTGAGAATAAAACAGCCAATATTGTAATGCCCCTGTATAGCTATATAGTGCAGCTTCATTTGGAATACTGTGTACAGTTCTGCTCTCTGTATCTCAAAAAGGACATTGCAGAGCTGGAAAAAGTGCAGAGGAGGCCAACCAAGATGATTAGGGGCTTGGAGCACCTTCCCTATGAGGAAAGGCTGAAGAATCTAGGACTTTTCCATTTACAAAGAGACTATTAACGAGGGACATGATAGAGGTTTATAAAATTATGCATGGTATGAAGAGAGTTGACAAAGGAAACATTGGAACCTGGCTGAAGGTTTCTTCTCTTCAGTGGGGCGAAGTCATTGAAACTTGGTTAGGTCACGTGTCTGTTCACTCCTGGTAGGGCTATGCAAATTTTTCGTGAGTCCCTCTGTTAGAGAGATCAAAGGCTGACTCCCCAGTCATGTTCAAGCCCTGTTCCGACTGTGCTCCTTCATCTTTGTTTCTTCTTCTTTTGGGGGGGAGTAGTGGATGACTTCATCCCACCGAGGAGAAATCTTCAGGTAGGTTTAAATGTTTCATTCTCCTTCAGTGGGG